CCAAAAACGTTTTCTAAGCAGAAGGGTGGGTTGTAGTCGCGGTGCTTCACCGTTACATCCCTTTCTCGACTCTTTGGGGCAAACCCAAAGACGACGGGTTTAGGCGGGCCGAAGGCCCGCTACATCACTTGATCATATTCTTCAGCAAATCGCGTGACAGAAATGGTCGGGCCGCAGGCCCGACCATCGCCGCCGGCAGGCCAAGCAGGCCCGGCCCCTGCCGAACGGAGTTGCCGGCGGAGCGAAGCGGAGCTGGCAACTTCGTTTGGCGGAAGGGCGGGCCTGCTTGTTAAGTACCCTTCTATAGAGGATTAGTCCTCACTTTATATGCGTTTTGTTTTAACGGGCGACATAGATAGCGGCCTGATTAGGACCGACCCAAAAGCGGCGGAAGCGGCAGTCAGGGCGGCAGCCCTTGTTTTAATGACATCCAGTTTACTGCTGGCTGTGTCCTGCTTTGGTCCTTGCTCCAGCGTGAAGGGGAAGGGGGAAAATGGACGTGCGCGCGCCCGCGCGGCCCATGCGAGGTAAGGCACTGTACTGTACGGTGTGTACAGTCAGCTTCAGCAGTCGTATGCCGCGAAGTCGTGTAGCTACGATCAGGTATATTATATACTACCCAAACCCTCACAAAAATGAGATTTTAAACAAGCCGTGCGCGTTTCTGCGTCATGCTTCTTATTTTTGCGCGTGCTTGGCCTTTCGTCGGTCAAAGTCTGTGCGAGATTCGCTAATGAGCAACGACGTTGCCTCGCCCTCGCCTAGATTTTTTGATATCTAGAACAGGGCTGGCCGGCCGGACTCGACTCGGCTGGCTCGGCTGGACTCGGTCCGGCGGCTCGTCCGCGCGGCAGCGCATTAGGGCCGGGACGGCACGCCTCGAAATTACCCTTGATTTTTCTTTGTGCCTCGTCATTTTTTACTGTCGTTGGCCTTTTCCTCTTTCGTCTCCGTCTCGCTGGGTGTCGGCAGCTCAGTGTTTCCCTCGGGCTGGCCGCCTTCCTCTCCTCCTATACCCCCTTCTGTCTCTATCATCACCTGTTTTCCCCCCGGCTTTTGTCATTTCTCTCTTTTCTCCCTTTTCATTTTCTTCATCTCTCTCCCTTTCGTTCTTTCGCTCGATGCCTTTTGCTTGGTCTGCCGCTCTAGACGATGGCTCTTGCCGTTCGCTCAGTTTGTTTGAACTCACGGGCGACAGTTGTGAATTCGTCTTTACTGTGCGTGGTTTGGGCACAGTTTATTTGTATCAGCAGCTCCCTCTCTGACCACTCAGCTCAGCTCCTCTAGCCTTGGCTTCCCGGATTTCTCTTTTCCCGAGCCCGTCCAGGTAACAGCAGCAACACAAAAAGTAGGAACACCTCGGCCATCATTGCGGTGGCGCGCCATTGGGTGGGAGGGGGGGGGGCCTTAGTGCCGGCCCCGGCGCTGAATAGACCGTGAAATCAAGCCGCGTCTAGCCGTGTCTAGCCCGTTGAGATTGCCCGGTTGCGCCCCAAAGACCCCTGCATTTTTTATTTCTCCCCTCGCCACTCTCGGTACGCTTCTTTTTCCAATTCTTATTTTTGACACTGTCAAGGCGCCGACTGTCGGCACTTTTTATTCGTCATGCAGCGGGAAAGATAACTGCTTCATCTCTACATATTCTGCTTAAATTAAAACTAGATTTTTGGGAGAGGGTTCTATATCTGAAACATAACTGGTAATGATAATACAATATGTAATAAATATCTATATAACTGACATCAAGCGTTTTTCTGAATTTCCTCGGTTTTTATTTTTGGGTTATGAACTGGCCATTCCCAAAGCAGTACTGTAGTTGTTTTTCACGTTCAGGTTTTAGGCTGTTCAAAATCTGTCTGATTAAATTTGTGCGTTGGTGTCGTTTTTTCTTTTTTTTTTCTTTTTTTTTTTTCGTTTTTTGTTGTTGAAAAACTGATATGCCCCGGAAAAGACGCGCTACTGGTGTAGCTTGATAGTATGTCGCTAGGAGACACGGTCCCGAGAGGATGACACGGTGTAGGGGATCGGGCTGCCAAACACATCACATCCGTACAGAAGAGGGGCGGCCTTGGGAAGAGAAGGGGGGCCCGTCGCAAAAAGATTTGTTCGCTTTTAGATCGTTTTCTGTGCGTCGTGGTGAACTCCACGCGTACAAGCCGCGACCTTTTTAAGTGTTCGCCAGATGTTCGCGCACGGTTCGTTGTGGAGTTCGCTTTCGGTCCGCCGAAGAGCGCGAATGTGACATTTCGCGAACATTGTTCGCTTTTGGTACGTCATGGGCCGACTCCGCTTGGGTCGCCAAAAG